GCCCAGGGGAGGGTTATTCCCTTCAAACTAGGGATAATCTGATAGTAGGACTTAAAAAGCGATACAACTTCTATCAGAACGGCAAAGCAACATCCAACTCTGGGCTTTGGAGGAGCAAAAATTGCCAAGAGACTGTCAAGACTGATGACTTTAATAGTGACAGAGAAGCTGACATTAAAATATAGAGAGTATCCTGGATTATCCAGGTAGCTCCAGTGTAATCACTTAAAAGGGGGAGAGGGAGAGAGAGTCGGAGGAGAAATACAATACCGCAGGCTTTGAAGATTTAAGAAAGGGACCATAAGCAAGGAATGTGGGTGGCCTTCCGAGGCTGAAGAAAGGAAGTAAACCGATTCTCCCCAACAGCCTACAGAACGCAGCCCTGCCTATACCATGATGTTAGCACGGCAAGACCTGTGTAAGATTCTGACTTCCGGAATGGTAACATAATAAATCTGTGAAGTTTCAAGTCACCCAGCCAGTGGTCATTTGAAACTGACTATACCTCCATCCAGAGTCATCACAATTCTACCTGTCCTGCAGGGCCCGATTCAAAAGTCTCTGTAATGTAAAGATCTTTCGGTTCCCACGAGCTCCCTCTCTGCCAGCCACCCTGGAGAGGCTTCCCTGCTCCTCTGCACCCACAAAAGTATCTGACAGACGTTAACAGGTAAGTCTCAATCTTAGCCGCTTACCAGGTACGTGACAATGTAAAGTCCCTTAACCTCTCTGCACTTGACTTTCGTCATCTACTGAAAACCAATCTGACGAGGCTGTTGTGAGGATTCAATACAGGAAAGAATATGCATTTCGAAGACTCGTGTCTGGCACACAGTAGGCACTCAGTTCGCATCAGCAATCACCATTAACTTCCTTCTCACCTGTTTGTCAGAGTCGCGGTCACATCCCTGTCTTATCACCACACCAGACAGACACGTGCCTCGTCACACTTCCTCGGCAGGGCGTCTCTGCCGCACGAGAGACAGTCTAGAAACAGGAGCTGTACTAGGCAACCGGCAGCTAACCTCGAAAAGCTCGCCTCAGAAAACAAGAAGAGCACTGGAAACTGCAACAACGACTCGAGCGGACCAAAATTTATATACTCGACACAGCAGCTATAAACAGATTTGGGTAACTGGATGCCAGAGAGAGGGTTTAGGAGAAAAGATAAATGTTGTTGAAGAAATAAAAGGCACCCTCATTATAGACACTGTGATCAACTACGCAATTCTCTCTGCTCCTCCAGAATCTCGCATGACCTGAAATGTTTGACTTTTTCACTGGTAAAGCATTAATACAGTCCTTATGCTCCTTTAGAAATGTAACAAAGCATAACAACTTTGTAGACTCTAATAGTAACTTCAACAATCTACTAACATACACAATAAAACTTGCCGCTAATGTGAGCCCTTTCCCAAATGGAGAATGGACAAATTTATATGAAATTTAAGATGCCCATTTTTAATTTGAAAGCAATAAAACTTTGATAAGATTTTGATGGAAAGGATTATTTTCTCTTGAAAGAAATACTTATGGATATCCCTCTTTCAAAACATCTGAATGTAAGTTTAAAAAAAAGAAAAAGCAACGAGCTGCACCAGAGGTAAGAAATAAAATCCAAGCTAAGATGTTAGGAGTGACACCGTGACAAATGCCCACGGGGATGCTCTCACCTGAGAGCAAATGATAAGGCCACAGCTGATTCAGGGAAGGGATTAGTAGTCAGGGAGGGTTAGAAACTCAGATCTCATCCAGAGGTAGATAGTATGGACTAAATTCTCTTAACATCAAAGGCATATTTGCTAATTTACTTACTAAGGGGCAGTTCTATATGGTAATATGAGAGAGTGATGGCAAATATCCAGTGAGCTTTAAAAGGTTTACAGTATAGGGACGACTGGGTGGTTCATTCAGTTAAGTGTCCGATGCTTGATTTTTGGCTCAGGTCATGATCTCAGGGTCTTGAGATCCAGCCCTGTGCCAGGCTCTACACTCAGCAGGGAGTCTGCTTGAGGACTGTCTCTCTCCCTCTCCTGCTGCCCCAACCCCCACGCTCATGCTCATGGGTGTGCATGCCCTCTCTCTCTAAAAAAATATCTTTAAAAAATTTAAAAACTTAAGAGTTTATAGTGTAGCCTCATTTTAAGAAACACTAAATCCAAAAGAAGGGAAACCCAAATAAAATACCTCAAAATGTTTTACGTAATGCCATTTAAAATGACTACCTAAAGCAAATTTATCAACATTTCTTATGGCAACAAAAGACAGTAATGGCCTTAAAATAAAACATGTATAAATAAATAAAACAAATTATTGACTGCATACTCAACTTCGGACCAGACACTGACCTCAGAGATAATAATATAATGATACCTGAAATACTTCCAGAGCCCAAGTAGCCTACAATTTAAAATAGAAATTATGCAGTCTTACAGGACCATCCAAGATACAGAGGGAATATGGTAGGTGCGTAGTGGAATGAGGGATGTATTCAGCCCAATCACGGAGAAAGGAATAAGCAGTCACCCCAAAAGAGCCCAGGGAAGGATTACCAACATGGTGAATGGGGAAAGGCTAAGACATGCCAAGGACACCAGAGGGCGTGCACAGGGGACTGCAGTCACGACAGAGGAGAATCTTGAGTTTGGGAATCTCAAGCCGGTCAGTGTGACTGAACCCTGGAGGGTGAGGCAGGGAGCAACCACATGAAGACATACGGAGAAACTAGAAAAATAAAGCATCTTTGAAAACCAACAGTTAAAAGCAACACTCCAGAGGTCAACAAGAGGGGCAAAGTCACCTTAAAGAAATCAAACGGATCTATTTGACAGACCCTAAAATATTAACATGCGTAAAGAAATGTATCTTGGCGAAAAGGGGATGATCAATCCTACATGGGGGGTAAAAAAGAAGAGAGAGAGAGGGATTCACAGAAACACTTGACTTTGCCCTCCTAAAGACACTGTTCAGGAGAAAGCATGCTCAACCAAACTCCAAGTATTACTGTCCAACTGGTAAGGCAATCTGTTCTGTGAAGAGAATTTAGCATAAACCCATTAAACTTTCAAATTATAAAAATCAATCATTCATTCATTCAGTAAGTAAATATTTATTAAATCCCTGCTGTGTATGTTCTTCCGTATTCTTAGGATACAGTGGTAGGCGAGAGAGTCGAAAATTCCTGCCATCTTGGAGATTATGACATGCCAGTGAGGAGAGACGATTAAAATACAAATGAACTCGTATCTATTTCAATAATGAGAAGTGCTACAGAAGAAAATAAGGCAAATATGAACGATGGGGAATGTGGGGATATGGCGATTTTAGGTAGAAAATCAGAAGTAAAAAGAAAAACTGCAGTACAACTGAAAGGAGCAGGAGAATGGAGACAGAGGGAGAAGCAAACAGCCTTATGCCTCTGATTTGGCTCAGGCTCAAAAGCGAGAATATATTAGATGCTCCAGTCAATGTGGTAACGACATTTCGCACTACTATACCCTGATTTAATCACCGGTCTCTGAGCTTGAGGAGTGCAGGTCTCTGAATCTTCGGTGCTGAAGGCCAGACGTTGGTCCCAGACAAATTCACCAAGGCAAATCAAAGTCACCCCAGGCGGCTTTTAGGGAAAAACCAAATGACTTCTTCAGCCTTCCCTGATCTTTGGCAGTAGTGAGAAGGATTAACCAGAAGGTGATAAAACTAGAGAAAAGATGACCAGTGACGACAGAGCTGGGAGTGTGCGGGGGGGAATGGAGGCACTGCTTAGGGAGAGGAAGAACGAAGCTGGAGAAGGAGAAAGGCAAGTTCCCCGGCTCCCCACAGGAAACAGCATGAAAGATACAAAGGACAGAGGAAAACAACACTAAAAAAGAGGGAAGGAAGCTGAAATCAGAAAGAAGCAGGACAGGGCTGCCTGGGTGGCTCAGCTGGTTGAGCGTCTAACTCTTCACTTCAGCTCAGGTCATGATCCAGGATCGTGAATCTGAGCCCCACGCTGGGCCCCGGGGCTCCGCGTACGGTCTGCTTGAGAGTCTCTCCTTCTCCCTCTCTCTCTACTCACCCCACCCATGCACGCTCTCTCTCTTAAATAAAATCTTAAAAAAAAAAAAATAGGGCAAGATAGCTTAAGCCTACGCAAGGCCGTTTGATGAATGGAGCGACTCCATGATTTAAAGAACAGAAGGCCTTTGCCTCATCAGACTTTCAGACTACACTAATATTGACGACAAAGTCCATTAATGCAAATAAAACAAAGTAAAAACGAGCTTGCCAAGAGTCAATAGTAAGGTCAGGAACTTCAGACTAAGATATGAAATTAAGAGTGCTTAATATTCAGTTAACAATGCTTATTTTTAGCTCAAAGCTCAAAGGGCAACATTTTATTTTTTTTTAAAGATTGTATTTATTTATATGAAAGAGAGAGCGCACAAGCAGGGGGAGGGGCAGAGAGAGAGGGAGAAGCAGGCTCCCCGCTGAGCAGGGCACCCAACGCAGGGCTTGATCCTAGGACCCTGAGACCATGACCTGAGCCGAAGGCGGACACTTCACTGACTGAGCCACCCAGGCACTCCAAGGGCAACACTTTAAAACATGAATTTCAGAGAGTTCATAATTAAAACATGGTTAGTATCTCAGGCATTATTTACTATAATTCTATTAAAAAAACAAAGATGATGGGTATATTAATCATTCCAACAACAAAACTCTTTTTAAAAAATATTTTAACCTAAGGGCATGGCTGGAAAATGAAATCCAAGTTTGTTAACAAGAAGATGTCAGAATAATATTAATCAAAGGCCTAAGACCCTGCTGCAAATCAATGTGTAACTTGTACACAGGGAACCTCTAAGAGGGAACCATATTCATGTGATTTAGAGCTTTTTGGTTTTTTCTTTCCTGTGAAAACGTTCAACTGCTTTATTCTGTCCCATGTCCAGAGGGAAAACCTGAATTCACGGAGTATACTGAGTATTTTATGGGTAAGTCTGAGAGACACTTACCCGGTATTGATGGAAATGATTTCTATCAGCGGATTCTTCCTGATCTTTGGCAAATCCAATCGTGCCCCCCCCAGGCGCTTTCCATTGTCCTTTTTCTGACCCAGCAGTCTCACAGAGTGACCTCCAATGAAAGCATAAAAATACACGACAGCGTCAGCCACAGAACTTCAATTGACTGCTCTCAACAAATGAGTTAATATTTTCATGTACCTTCTGTTATGAAACAAACAACAAAATATACATAAGATGGAACCATTGACCTAAGAAATACTGCCAAAGGGAAAAACAGCTGTGTGCGCATCCTGCAGTCAAAGTTCTTTGCTTAAAATATTTGCACATTTCTACTGTACAGATGATGGAAACAGAAACATCCTCAGAATGTCATTCCATAAGGTACGCATGCTCTCCAGCGGGGACCAGGTATGTAATGAAGCAGGAAGAGTTTACCTGACCACCAGGCCTGCCAACCAACCCACTGTTGGGGAATTTAAAAAAAAAAAAAAAAAAAAAAGTGCAAAAGCAAACTATCTGCTCAAAGCAAACAGCACATCAAAGAAATAACAAATTAAAAGGCTGGGATAAGGTGACACTTTAGGGTCAGATTTTTTTAAGACAAAAATTTTTAGACTTATTTTTTAAAACTATTATGAAAGAAAAACAGACTATTTCTAAGAGCCATGAAAAATTTTATAACTTTGAAATTTTGAATTGCAGTGGTAGAAAATACGGGAGAACAGTACGAAGACTTCCCATCCCCTTCAGATTCTCCAATTATTATTTCTTCCATGCTTACTTTGTCCTTTGTTCATTATATACGTAGTATTTTTTTATAACTTCACTGAGGTACATCCTGTAAGATTCACTCCTTGCAAGTATACAACTTAATGATTTTTTTTTCAAAGACTTATTTATTTGACACATAGAGAAAGCTCCCACACACAAGCAGAGGGAGCAGCAAAGAGAGAGGGAGAAGCAGGCTCTCCTCTGAGCAAGGAGCCTGACCCAAATCTCAACCCTAGGACCCTCGGATCATACCCTGAGCCAAAGGCAGACGCCTAACCAACTGAGCCACCCAGGTGCCCCCAATTTAATGATTTTAAGTTAACACATGCAGTTGTACAATCATCACAACAACCCAATTTTAGAACATTTCCATCACCCTAAGAATTCCCTCAAGCTTATTTACAGTCCACCCTTGCTTCCATTTCAAAATACATCACATTCTGTTCATCTGCTGACCAACTGGCGGACATTTGTATTGTTTCCAATTAATACCTATTAGAAAAATGCTTGCGTCTACGAATATTCACATACTAGTCTTCATGGGGACATACGTTTTCATTTCTTCTGGATAGACTCCCAGGAATGGAACTGCTGGGTCACGTGGTCAATTTCTGTTTAACTTTATAAGAAACAACTGTTCTCCAAAGTGGTGGTACCATTTTATATCCTACCAGCAACGTATGAGGACTTGAGTTTCCCCACATTGTTAACGAAGTCCTTATAGTTGCAACTTTTTTGACAACAGCCATTCTAGTGAGAAGTAATCCAGTATTGTGGTTGGAATGAACATGCATTTCCATAATGACTAACGATGTTGAGCACCTTTCCACGTGTTTATTAGCCATCTGCACGTCTTGTGTGGTAAAATGTTCGTATGGTTAATTTTTATGTGTCAACTTGACTAAGCCACAGGGTGCCCAGACACTTAACCAAACATTATCTTGGGTGTTTCTGCAATGGTGTTTCTGGATAAGGCTGACATTTGAATCAGGAGACTGATTAACACTAGTGGGCCTTATCCAATCAATCCAAGACCTGAATAGAACAAGGAAGCTAAGAGGAAACAACTCCCATCTGACTGCACAGCTGGGTCATTGCTCTTTGCCAGCCTTCAGATTCTGACTGGGATACAGGCTCTTCTTGGTCTTCTTTCAGCTGCAGACTGAAACTTACACCATCAGCTCTACTGATTCTCGGGCCTTTGGACTTGGGCTGGACCTACACATCAGCTCTCACAGAGCATTGGCTTGCAGACTACGGTCTTTGGAATTCTCAGTCTCCAAAATATCTCCATAATAGTGTGAGCCAATTCCTTATCATACATTTCTCTTCAACAAACCCACCCACCCACACACCCTATTGGCTGTTTCTCTGGAGAACCCTCACTAATAAAAATGTCTACTCCAGGAGTCGGCCAGTATTTTAACTGGAGTAGCTGCCTTGTTATAGAGTTCTAAGAATCCTTTATTCTGCTTACAAAACCTTCGTCAAGTATGTGATTTGTAAATATTTTCTTGCAGTCTGAAGCTTACAGTTTCACTTTCGTGATAGTATCTTTTTAAAAGTAAATGTTTTTCAATTTAATGAAGTGTACTTTCTCAATTTTTTCTTTTCTAGCTCATGCTTTTGCTATTCTAGCTAAGAACTCCTGGCCCAGCCCAAGGGCACAGATTTCTTCTGTACTTTCTTCTCCGTGTCTTACTGTTTTAGGTCTTAGCCTTAGGTCTAGGATCCAATTTGTTACTTTATGTGTATAAGGGTCTATACCCTTTTGTGTATAAGGGTCTAGGTTCATTTTTTGCATATGGATATTTAGTCGTCCAAATGCCATTTCTTTTCCCTCCTCCCTCTTTGTGCTATTGTTGTCACACATATTAACAGCTGCATAAACCCCAAAAATACAGGGCCATAATTATTGTTCTAAACAACTGTATAGTTTTTGTTGTTGTTGTTTTTCGGGGGAGGGGGCAGAGGGAGAGAGAGAATCCTAAGCAGGCTTCACTCCAGCACAGAGCCCAACACAGAACTCGATCTCATAAGCCTGAGATCATGATCTGAGCCGAAATCAAGAGTCAGGCGTTTAACTGACTGAACCACCCAGGCACCCCACAACTATATAGTTTTAAAATCTTTACAAAGTACTTAATATTTAACCACATATTTAACCATTTCTAACAATCATTCCCTCCTGCGAATTCAACTTATCATTTGATACTACTTCCTTTCTGCCTGAAGAACTTTCTTTACTATTTCTTGTAAAGGAAATCTACTAGCAACACAGATTCTTTGCTTATTTGAGAGTCTTTATTTTGCTTAATTTGTGAAAGATACTTTTGCTGGATAAAGAATTATTAGTTGACAGGTTTTTTTTCTCTGAGCACTGAATAGAGCTGATTCTTGAACACTGCAGAGGTGAGCAGGCCCAACCCCCACACAGCTGAAAATCCACATATAACAAAACTTACTGCTAATAGCTTACACTGTTTACCAATAACATACTCAGCTGACTAACAAATATTTTATATGTCATATGTATTACACACTTCTTACAATAAAATAAGCTAAACAAAATGTTAAGAAAAGCACGAGGAAAATACACATACAGCACTGGTCTGTAAACAAATCCATGGAGAAGGGGACCACACAGTTCTAAAACCATGTCGTTCAAGGTTCAACTGTCAAAGGTCACTGCCTTTGACTCTGTTGCATCTGATGAGAAGTCAATTATCGATCTTAATGTTGTTCCCCTTGTACATAATGTGTTACTTCTTTATTATGCTTTCCTGGATCTCTGTGATTTTCCTACCTGCAATTCAGGTAGCTTTTTGGCTCCATAAAGTAATGTTTGTTTGTTTTTTTTAATTTTCGTTTTGTTTTGTTTTGTTTTAACAAAGTTTGGGAAGTTTTCATACAGTACTTTAAAAAAAAAAAATTGGGGAGGGGCACTTTTTCTGTATCTCCTTCTGTGGCTCCGTGACACACTAACTGGTCTGCTGGATGCTGCCCCACAGGTCTTTGAGTCCCTGCTGATTTTTCTTGTTATTCAGAGTGGATCATTTCTATTGATCTGTCCTCAAATTTACTGATTTTCTTCTGCCACCTCAAACTGCAATTGAGCCCCTTGAATGAACATTTAATTTACTGTACTTTTCAATTTCCCCTTGGTTCTTTTTTATCCTTTCCATCTTATTTGTGATTCTGTATTCATCACTGCCATCATCCTTTCCTTAAAGGCTTTTGACATGATTTTACTTAGTACTTGGGAGTCTTTGCTAACTCCAACATTTTTGGTCAAAGACAATCTATACTGACCGGTTTGTTTTTCTTCCTGCATATGGGTGTACTTGCTTTCTCTGCATGTATCGTAATATCTTGTTTAATACAGAACACTGTAGATAATATATTGTGGCAAGTTTTAATTCAGACGGCACCCCACCAAGGACTGTTGTTGGTTTTCTTTACTAGCTTACCTGGACTAAATCTATGAAATCTGTCTCTCTACAATGAAGGGTTGTCCTTGTCCCATCTTAATTCTCCATCCCCACTCCCCTCCACCAAGCGTGACTTCTTAGGGGTCAACTCTGTATCTGCATTAGCTTTTTATTGAGGAAAGAATGGTCACGCATTTGTTCAAATACCACAAGCCAATGAGATTTCTATCTGCTGATGGAACTGTGTATGAGCCAGTGAGGTCACTCAGAGTTAGGGCCACTTTTGAGTCCGCCCCACCTTCCCGGGATGTGCGTGCAGGCTCCAGCAGGCAGGTGAGCGTGGGTGGCTGGGCCCACTCCAGACTCTGCTGTGCATGTGCACAACCCCCAGTCAACTAACCGTCCGTGGAGACTTAGCAAGCCTCCTATCACTGCCTCACCTTCAGGAAGTTCCTGTTCAAATCCTGGCTAGTCCACCTGTCCACTCTTCATGCCAAACAGTCCCCCAGTTTCAAGAAGGTAGATCCACAGACCCTCCCTGTTACTTGCCATCAAAATCTCCACTTTAACGAACAGTTCTTCAAGTCAACTGAGCTGCTTGTTTTTGACTGTCCAGCTTTACTGCTGCTCAGGAGATCTGCTGACCTCCACACACGATCATGTAATAAGCAAATCAAAGCCAACTTTTTCAAAGCAATTATTTAAAATAACTTCAAATACATAATTAGTACAATTATATATATATATTATGTATATATATATACATAATAGACAATTATATACATGTTTCATCACCCTTCGTTTCAGAAAGATACATTGCTTCCATGTCTGTCTTACAGATAGCTTTAAATGACCAGAAGTAATAAAACCATCAGTCACAGTGTTTTTGCAGTAATCACTTTAATAA